TGACCCGCATGAGATTGTCACATGGACAGAGTCATGACTTGAATCTCATACAGCGGTTCGTTCTCGGATCCTTATACCTGAGATGTCTAGAGTATCTGATGTGAGGAGTGGCGTGTCTTGACTGCGTCAAACGTCGTCTTTAACCGGATGATTATAACGGCGTTGATCAGATACGTTCGCGAATCATATGGAGATAGTAGACATGCAATACGGGACTTGTCACCTCCTTAACAGAAGAGATATCGCTGGGCCCTCTCGTGGAAGTCGAACTATGAAAAACGCGTGACCACGCTATAGATGCAGTTGCATCTATTTTATTAGTCGATTTGCCAAGACGAGAAAGCAGTTGAACTTGAAGGGTGGCTCAAACCATGCCCTTGTTCAACATATGATATCGTGAGACAAAGGATCAGAACTCGAGCTATTGCTGCCTTGGTTAGATCACCTCTAACTCAATTCAACGTGGGTGGTCATGGCGTCTTGCTAGAGACTAACCATGACTTGTAGATCGGGAATGGTTCTCGAGGCTGCTGCCACTGCGAATGGGCCTACATGGTCACACATCATTAGAGATGGACTTACGTGTGAAGTATCAGAAAGGAAGACTTGGATTTGGCCGAACAAACGGTTTTCGGATCAAATCAGAGTGTCGAGAAACGGTCTCAGCCTTCTGACTCGGACCGAGTCAATTCCATTTAGGTGCACATGGAGTCGAAGCCCAGAAAATATTTTTGGGTTTGACTGATGTTTTGACTCGGTCGAGTCAAATCTTGACTCGGTCGAGTCAAATCTTGACTCGGTCGAGTCAAATCTTGACTCGGATCGAGTCAACTATAAATGGACCGAGTCAAAATTTGATGATGGGCTTGGGCTGATTCGTTCTGACTCGGCTGAGTCAAAGTTTTGACTCGGACCGAGTCAAATCTCGGCGAAAAGTTTCCTTTTGCAAAGATTAGGGTTTCAAACTTAATAAAAGATTAAGGGGACGCCGCCCCAATGGAGTGAAAGACTTTCTGAACTCCTAGACAGATCTAGAACACAAAAAAAATTGTTTCTTTTGAAGTTCTAGTTCTCGGGATTCGATCCCAAGTCTTGGAAACCCTAATCACTTCACAGATCCTAGCAGATCAGTTCTAAAAGCATTTGGAATCCTTCCCTCGGTGTGGATACGTGTAGAGAAGCTGTACTTTCATCTCTTGGTGATTGCAACAAACCCCGGATCGAGATTTGCTTCAAGAAGAGGTAAGTATTCGATTCCCATAGTGATACACACGGTTTTTCGGGTTTTGCAAGTTTGGTTGCGTGTGACGTTTGACTAGGTTTAGATTTTATTTCCGCTGCATGAAACCTAATAACCAAACCCTAGATCGATGAGTTCGCATGCTAGGAACTCGTAGTGAACCCCAACAAATACTACAAAAATTTAAATTGATATTCCAAATATTGAAGTATTTCAAATTGATTGTTCAACTCATGAAATCAATGTTAATTCTCAAATTTTCATATGATATATGAATGATGTATACTAATAATTTTTCAAAGATGATATAGAACGTTTTTTAGAATAAGACGTGATGTCATAATATTCACAACTCGACCAAAATTTTTAATAATTCTTATAATTCTTTTAATTTTTGTAATTCGAGGTTGAAAATTATCATTGATTTTATAAATTAAAGTATCCAATTAAAATATTTTAATACTTAGGATATCTATTGGACAAAATTAAAAAGATACTTTGAAAAAGTTGCATGATATATCTTCTTAAAAAGATAACCTATACGAAAGCAAAGTGTAACCGTTTTAAAATATTTTTTATCTATAACCATGAATGGTTACAAAAATAAATCCTTCAGAATAAAAACAAATAAGGAATTCATATCAGTTCTTAATATAGAGTAAGAACAAATAAGAAATCTCTATCAATTATTAATTTATCGTATCTTCGGTAGCCCGATACAGATTATGATGTTCCATAAGTAGAAAATTGGCCATCGGCAAGTTGGGTATCCTTACACACCGATTTAACAAAAGTCGTTCACAAATGTAAATAGATAGCAAAAACACATGTCTCATTTAACTAAATAAATACATTTTTCACAGAAAAAAAAAATACAGAATTAAAGAGACATTATGCGTTGTTCATGAGGTTCGTACAATTCCAAGGTTTTTAAAATAATCGTATCACTGTATAATACAGGAAGATGGAATGGGGCATAACTTACACTTTTATTCTACCATTATCATTACAACGGTCCAATAATGATTTGATGCGATTATTTGCATACACTGTTAGCAGCGACATGGAGGCTCGTATCTGCATACGCAATCATATATGTTCCCTTTTATCAACTTCTCCGCCAGCCTCTGATTCTTCACCATCGCTAGCTGCAAACAAACAAACAGAGCGTGTGAGCTAGGTTCAGGTTTTGAATTTTAATGGTCGTACAACGTTCGCGATTGCCGCTGCGATTATGGTGACAAAGCTTCCAAAGGGCGTCTGATGCAAAATGAATCTAGCATTTGCATCGCATTGAGACTAAACGCAAACGCTGAACTACAGGAGTAACAGTGTTATCATGCAATCTGAATGACGGGACCTGTGGTTTTCGCAAGTAGGGTGAACATGGAACTGATTTCTCCAAGTACCCAGTCTGACTTGAGTCCGGTACTTAAAAATCGGATATTTATCCACTAGAAGGACAAGTATGGCTCCGACGTCAGCGAGAATCCGACATTTGGATTCGACTTTGGGTGAGCCATTACCTGTCTCGAACTTGTCTAGGGTTACCAGTATGAGGCAAGGGAGTGAGAGGCGAGGATTCGAAGATGTGGCGGCAGCGACACGAGGGTTAGGGATTTCGCTATTTTTAGGGACTTCGTCATTTTTTTTAGATTCTCATCTTATTTAAAAAAAGGGCGAGGGGATGGGCGAGGCGAGGCGAGGCGAGGCTCATCGCCGCTTGCATCGAGGCATCTCATTCCTCTCTCTCTTCCCTTGCCCCATCGCCTTTTTCCTCGGCTCATCGGACCGATACCTCGTGCTCATTGACTTACCCCTCTGACCAGAAAACCCATGGTTATCCGAGTATTTGGGGCATCCCATGGTACCCCAAGCTCAGATAATTGTCCGAACGGTACTGCGATAGGTTCCGAACCCCAAAACCCGAAAAGCACGGATGTGGATCCAGATACCCCCAAAATCAGAGATATCAGACCTGTACCCGACCCTATTCACAAGCATTTGTGTTTTCATGCGTAAACGGGGTTTGTCAATCGATTCTATTAGGCAATATTGATACCAAATTAGACGGAGGGATGCGTACCTTGAGAGCCTCGCATTTGAAGCGAGCATTGAAGTTGGTATGAAGTGCTCTTCCCATTCCTTCCAAGATAATCTGCAATTCCAAAACATTTCTTTAAGTAAATTCAAAGGAGTCGAGATTTCGAATTGAGAACAATAACGAGATTTCGGGTTGCCATCAGAGAGAGATTTAGCATACAAGATCAGCATCCTTGGCCATGGCTGCAAGCTCAGAGCTGACCTGCCTCAGATCAATGCAAGGACTTCCACATCCATTTTCAACAACCATCAATGGCGGTGAAGCAGAATTCTGCTTCGAGCCATCCGAAGGATTTATCATCGCATCCACGAGTAGGCCTCCCGTTTCAGCCGCTCTCCGGAGGATGTCACAGTGCTACACAAAACAAGGAACATTTAACCTTTACCTTTTTTTCGTTAATTCTAATCTTGCTTCGAGACAAATAGTAGAAAACTTTTCAAACCAAGAGTACCCTCGAGACAGTGTACTCAAAGTGGTCGCTCAACATTCAAGTGAAGGCCTTTTCCAAAAGTTAGATCTTCCTAAAGATGGTTAACTACAATCAAAACTGTTTCTAAAGATCTTCTATGAGTCATTAAGCGATGGGCATAAAAAAGAATCCGCCTTTACTGTCGGGACAATGACCAAAAAGTAAGAGAAACATATAGACTAACCTTGGCAGCCTCAGCCACAATATCGGGAAGTTCCATAGCAGTCACATCATTTAGAGCAGGATGAGAGTTTGCAACTAACACAACCTGGAGAACAACGGTTTTAGTATTTACTCGACACATATCCAATGATTCATAAGATTAAATAAGTCCAGTAACGGAAAACAATGATAATTCAAAGCATATAATCATTGTTTTAGAGCTTGACTAGGAAGAGAGCAACGAACTTCAGTCCCACGCCGGAGAAATTCACGGGCAAGTGGAAGCATCCCAAGAATGATGTCTGCTCCCGAGTTATCAACAAAGAGCAGAGCTCTTTTATGTGGATGAGGCTTCTCACTTCCAGAACCCAGCATCCTTTCTTTGAAAGCATCAAAATCATCTACCTAAAAGACGAAAAAACAAAGCTTTTTTAAAAAAACGTAACTCCGAACAAAAGATATGATGCATTTTCCAAAACCGACAAAAGTTAAGGTGTGCTTAACTCACCCTCCACGGTCTCTGCATTTTGTTACGGCTCATTCGGTATATCTCAATTATTGTGCCTTTATGATATAGATCCACGCATGCCCGTGATCCCCAGTCAAATATGTTTGCAGCTAGAACACCTTCTATAAGCGTAAGCAACCTTGCTTCCTAGAAATCATATGGAGTTCAAATGGCGATGAGAGAAGAGACATCCTTCAACAAATATATCAGATGCTTGTTTCATGTAAAGGACTGAAAGATTAAGTTGTTAGCAGAAAGAATGCAGACCGCAGAGATATTAATTCCGCACACAGCTATGACTACAACCGCTATACTTTTTTCTTTTTTCGTTGTACCACCGTCATGCACAGTACACAACAAACATATAAGAAGTGGAACAAAAACAATACATATTTACAAACACCAAAGCATTCTTTGAGTGGATAAATAGATCATATGCATCTTAACTTGTTAAGATGATTTCTATATTCTTGAAGGGGTTCATATACCATTAGCACTCCATTGCTGCAAAAAGCAAACTTCAAGAATTCTTGCTTGTCTACAAAAGTTCTTTGCCTTTTCAGATCGATCATAAAAATCAGTTAATTCCATATTTTGGATGTCTTGTTCCCTCTACTTCGTCTTTTAATCTCTCTTTGACTCCCCTCGTCACGCATGGTTAGATCAATAAGCCACACTATAATTTCTCATAGATTTGTCCCTTATGGATATTGGTGAGAGAGAGAGAGAGAACTAAAGGTCACAAACCTCACTCATAGAATCAAGCTCCTCAAGCAAATCAGGTAAAACAGCAAGCGAGGCCTCATTCTCCCTATCAAAATCGAAGAAAAACAGCATTGGTGGAATTGAGGTGGGGGAGATAAGCTTAGCAGTGTATTTTATTTTTTGAAGACAATCTAATAGAGGCCTTGTTTACCTTTGCTTGATGCTTCTATAGGCATCGACAAATTGGAACTCCCTCAAACATTCTTCCCTGAGTTCTAAAAGATTTGCTAAGCCCAGCTTTCCATATGCTGCTGGCTCTTCCATTAATCTAGATAGAAGGAAACAAAGAATTTGTAAGTACCAAAGCACAAGCATTGGAAGACTTTTAGTATTATTGACCAAAAAATAATACACAATTATGAAGCAGAAGGGTTTCTCAACAATAGTAGAAAAGGTTTTCCAGATAATAACCCTCGAGGACTAAAGTAATGGCTATAATCAGAGAGTGATGGAAAGAGAAATAAATAAAAAAGAGATATACAAAATAAACAAGTGGTGGTGTGAGCGATTGTCCATGTGAAGGAAAAAATAATATTAGAACTTCTAGCCACTTAACCATGAGAAGATTTTATTGAAGAACTTAACCATTTAAGAAGCTGGTTTTCCTGTGATGAAAATTCTACAGATTTTGTATGTGAGAAGGAAAATAAATTCATTTGATAAATTTGAATTTGTTACGAAAAATATATAACCTTGCTAAATGAGCAGAAAAAGCACGAGCAAAAGCATCACCACGCCTTTTGGCATCCTCAGTTCCACCTTCACTTGCCACAGCCTATAATTATTTCCATGGTAAAGCAACGGTTATGATAGGAAAGAATTCACCCAACGATTGTTTACCTCGAAACTCATTACCACAAAGAATCCCCACCACCAGAAGATAAACATTGAATTATCAACAAAATTTTCACTGTGCTATTCTGAATGCTTACCTTGTCAACGAGGTCTGGCAAATGCTCTGATAACACAGTGAGCCAGTACCTAAACATGTAAACAAAATAATTGATCAAAGAGAAACAAAGCTGTAAACAAGGTCAAGCAAATGCTCAGACAGCACAATCAACTCACTCTCGTTCACTATGATCTGATAGATCAATCGTGTTAGGCTCGTACCTGGAGTTAAACAAAACAATAAAAAAACATCAACATGTGCAGGAAAATCAGACATCATACACATGCACAAATTCTTTCATATGCAAAGAAGATTTCAAATTGGGAAAACCGGTCACAATAAAGACAGTTAAAACCAACAGAGAGTTTTAATCTTAAGGTCAAAATTATAAATGATGCCAGTTGAAAGCCTAAATCACCATAAACGGCAAAAGACAGTGACACATGAGATGATATGAACAGATTAATAGCATTAAGTATAACTGAAGAACTTTTCACGTACGCTTTCGGGTCAGCCAGCAATGGAAAAACCTCCAATGTGGGAACAAGATGGAGAACACCAATATTTAACGCACTGGCATCAGATCTCAGAGCACTACCTCTGGATGAGGGAACTTCAAATCCTCCGAGTCCAGTTGTTTTCGAAGGAATCATTGGCACAGGAGCAGTGATTTCAGTTCCCTTAAGCACAAACTTCTCCATCCATGAAATCTACAAGAAGAAAACCCTTTTATGTTCCAGACAGAAAAGAACTGAGCATCATAACCTTTCCCACCATTCAGAATACTTATGCTTACTCTGAAGAAATTCTACACACAAAAGTAAGAGAATCAGATTCCACCCATTCTTAATTCAAGGGAAAGAAGAGACATCCTTCAACAAATATATCAGATGCTTGTTTCATGTAAAGGACTGAAAGATTAAGTTGTTAGCAGAAAGAATGCAGACCGCAGAGATATTAATTCCGCACACAGCTATGACTACAACCGCTATACTTTTTTCTTTTTTCGTTGTACCACCGTCATGCACAGTACACAGCAAACATATAAGAAGTGGAACAAAAACAATACATATTTACAAACACCAAAGCATTCTTTGAGTGGATAAATAGATCATATGCATCTTAACTTGTTAAGATGATTTCTATATTCTTGAAGGGGTTCATATACCATTAGCACTCCATTGCTGCAAAAAGCAAACTTCAAGAATTCTTGCTTGTCTACAAAAGTTCTTTGCCTTTTCAGATCGATCATAAAAATCAGTTAATTCCATATTTTGGATGTCTTGTTCCCTCTACTTCGTCTTTTAATCTCTCTTTGACTCCCCTCGTCACGCATGGTTAGATCAATAAGCCACACTATAATTTCTCATAGATTTGTCCCTTATGGATATTGGTGAGAGAGAGAGAGAGAACTAAGAGTTTCATAATTGTCATTACTTTTAGCTTTTCATAATTTCAGTAGATAAAATAAAGAGAAAACAAGCAAACAACAAATAAAACACTAAAACTGAGGGCATCCTTCAGTATTCAATCCTTAAAGGCGAGTATTTCAACTATATGCCTCTTTATATAAAAGAATTTTATCTAACAAGATTCTGTCTTTGGTGAATTACTAGGCAATGACAGAGACCAGAACAAAATATGCCCCTCTTTAATATACACAACACATATAGATGAGGTTAACAAAAGAGTTAAGAAATCTCATTTCTTGTTGAAGGAAAAAGATTGAATGATTCTCAATCTTCCTTCTATTTTTTCTTTTCAAAGTCTAGCTGGCAAATTAGTAAAAAACTACAGAACTGATACATAACAATAAATGTAACAATATACTTTCCAAATAAAATATCCACACGAGGAAAAAAAAACAAGTTAGCTCTTATTGATAAAAAGCAAGAATAACATAGAAAAAAAAATATATGAATTTGGTTAGTGTGACATTCTAATTTGGTAAATAGTTTATATATAATTATTCAACAATATTTGTATTAATAAAAGGTTCTCTAAAAAATGAACAATTATCAAACAAAACTTATGTTTTTGCAAGAATTTCTTAATATATAATCTTCAAAATGAATGGATCACCTATCGAATCAAATGACAAGCACATAAGCTGAGTTAATTAGGGCATGCATACTACTGCAAGGCTCAATTAGAATTCCTCTCTTTCTTCCTCAATGTAAATATTCCTTTCATGGATCCATAGTGGTCCTAAAAATGGGAAACTCAAGCTACAAGATAATCAACAAAGATTACCGAAAGGAAAAACAATAAGCATGCATGACAGACCAGTACAGATTCTGCAACAAAGAAAGTCATTAGGTTCTCTTATACAAAGATCCTTAAGAACAATATCTAACGTATCTGAACAGTCCCTTTCACCTTACAGGCTTTATTTCATAGAATTGTCAGTAAACCTAGCATAGCAGAGGCCAAAATTCATGTTATGCACAAAACCTTTTAATGAAACATGTTATGCACAAAATTCATGCCACGTACAGAACAATGTAAAGGAAAAAAAAGATTTTGAATGATGTTGGAGAAAGAATATATATGAGCAGAATTCATGGACTTAAACATAGTCCACTGTATTCTATTGCATACAATTTGCTTCCTTATCAAGGATCCTAGCATAGCAGAGGCCAAAATTAACTTCAAAACTAAGCACAAAGGAAGAAACACATCAGAAAATATTTGCAAGTATTTGCTGAAAACACTCTTCTTAGACGGAACTGCTAACAAACTGATTCTTAAGCAATTTTGCAATAATCTAAAGCTAATTTAATGTGGAGGTGTCTAGACTAGTAAAATCACTAGGACATAGAAGTGAGTCATATTAGGATAGTGATCATAAAATGTTTGTTGAGAAATATATAGCTAAGTTGTCGTAAATCCAAAGGGACTCTGCACTACAAAATTTTAATTAAACTAATAATAGAAAAATGATCAAAATTGTGTCATTTTTAATTTATAAAAATCTAAAAATTCGTCTTGAAACATTTTTTGTCGATACTAAGATACCTGTTACAAGATTATAAAATAAAAAATAAAATTCAAGAGAAGTTTCATCGAGAGGCTAGAATCAACTAAAAACAGGGATAACAACAGCGGAAAACCGATGTCACTTGCCCTGTCGCTATCCATAGCCACTGATTTGTGCCACACAGTGATGACAAACACAAAAGCAAAATTTTGTAGCAGATCAAACTAATTACATAAATGGCAGCCAATTTCAAAAATGACAGAATCATACATAGAATGACAATATATAAGCAGATTAGTTTTACCTTCTCATTCAGATCGCCAAGAGGCGGTCCATGAATCTTTCCTCCAGTGTATGGTGCACCCATCGGGAACCTCTCAACCAACTGATGCGACATTAAATCATCCAAGCCATGCTTCTCATAGCTCATGAATGCACCCAAAGCACCCAGAAAGCCTTCATGCCTCAAGAACATTGCTTGCATCTCTCCTTTTGACCTAATGAACAAACCATATAATTATTATTTTCATATTGAGCTAGAGAATTCTGTTCAGGGTTGAGAGCGTATCAGGATTGAAATTAAGTTTATCATCTTATCTTGTAAACTTACCAAAACTGGACAGCAAAAGAAATTGTATCCATGGTATATGCATGACCCCTAATGAAGAATCCTCCAAAAAATATCCGCTTAAGCCCAAAACGGAGGGCATTCAAATAAGATATCTACACAGTGAAACACAACTCAGAAAGGGAAAAATTACCTGATGTGCAAAAATCAAATACATCAATCAACCAAGTAATCCGAAAAGCATCTTGTTGAAACGAGAAAAGAACCTTTTTCAAGGGCTTCTCTGGCTAGTTTATCAAGGATAGTTGATTGCATTTATGGATCAGGGCAAGTAACGAATAGTTAATCAAAGACCTTATTGAAAACTAAGATACAACTGCAAATGAAAGAAGATAGAAATGACTAACATTAATGGTTTCAGCGATGACTTGAATATTCATTAACTCAGTTCTAGTATTTATATGACTAGGAACTTTGTTGCCTTTAACAAAACTCAATAAAGCTATTGTATGTTTAATGTACTGCCTGTTTTGCTTGAAATCTTCTTCCTATGCTTGCGTAAATTAGAAGGAAATTAAGTGTAGGAAAAGTCAAGATTTTCTGATCCTAAAACAGATCACAGATCTGAGTTACTAAAAAGAAAATGATTCACAGTTCACTTTATTCCAAAACTTTTCCTCGTAAATTTGGACCCTGGAAGCATACCTGCCCAATATTATATGAAATCATTCGCAAAAGAGATAAGGAAATATCTTCAGGTCTGTAGTCCTCCAATTCCTTATTTTCAGATATCGCCTTGCCGAAACTAGAAGCTATTGTCGAAGCAGAGAGGCCAATCTGTGTAATTAATCAATAAGACTACCTAGAAAAAATAATCGTAAAGAATTTTTTTGTTTGAATAGGAATAACAGTGGGATCCTCCACCAACTGTGATGGGAATCATGGAGGACAATTGCAAATAGTACCTTAGAGTAATCTGTACCACCATAAATATCACCGACAAGCATGTCAATGGTCCTATTATCTCCCTTCTGACTGAGTTCTAGCAACTCGTCAAAGCTGAAAGAAAAAACGCAACATCAATATCAATATCACTCATATTAAAGGAGTATTGAAAATAACATGTGAACTAACGTCTTGCACTTCGTCAAAAGTCTTCCTAAGCCCCAATAGGTGCCACCACCAACATTAGTCCCACTGACACGTTGAAACTTGCCTTCCCCATCAACCTATAAAGGGAAAGCCATTACCAAAAAATATCTCATCTTCTGTACTTCAATTTTAAAGAATCCACAACAGCTTATAAAATGGATTACCAAAAGTAAACATGTACCTTGATAATGCTGACACCAGATCCAACATTAACAAGAAGATACGGGTACAAGTCATTAGGATCTATCTGAACAAACTCTTTCTCACCCTCCATGTGAGTAAAGGCTTCATGCCGAATAGCCTGCGGCAGAGGAAGTAAATTTGAATAAGATTCAAAACTTATTCAGTAAAAGGAAAAGAACATGTAAATTGAAAAAATAAAATCGGTTGCATACTTGCATATTTGCAAAAATAGTGAAAAATATTTGTAAATACACAGACATACACCGCACTACATAGGCTAACTAGAAAACTGGGTTCTTTTCTAGCAGTTCCTCTTACAGGGCTTCAGGTACTGCGAATAAATCAACCATTACAAACAACTGAGAACCTACCTTTGCTTTCTGGTTGACAAGTACCAACTATAAAGACAGGAACACATGCAGACACAAAGTAAACCAAAATGCTGCATATGAAAGGTCCTACCTTGAGCAAAAAATTTGCTCCAGCAACAAGGCAATCCATTTCGTCTTCTTTCTCGATACTAACGCCCAGCCTTTCCTTGAACAAGTCTGCAAATTTATATGCCCCACCCCCTGTGGCCTTCACACAGAATCAACTCATCAGATGAAAGATGATTGAAAGACTTGTTCTATAGAGCACAACTAGTAAGATAAAATAAAGATTTGTCAAGTTATCAATCCAATCAAGCAAATAATATTATCTGGATATCCACACAACAGCATACAAAAATATTTCACCGCAAGAAATATAATGCTTATCAGTATTTTACAAATACATTGACAGATACCTCAAATAATATGACTGGTTTAATATTCCCATAAAGAGGCTGAACTAAGGAAATAAAGATTTTGAAAAACAAATCACAAACACAAAGTGCTATTATTACCTTGATAATACCGCTTCCCAAAGGTAGGTTCTTGGGATTCCATGGATAGCATTCTATTAAGAAAAAAAGGTGAGTTAAGCTTAAGCAGGTTGTGAAACAACAGGGAACTGAAATTTAATCTTCTAACAAGGGAAATTAAAATTTTCACTGGAAGTTTCAGTGAGTGAGCATGCAAGGAATGTCAGGAATAGTTGACTATGCCACCATTTTGCTCATTTCTCAAACATTTGCACTTTCACCAATATAATGCAGATTTCATAAACAATTTACGTTGCGTCAACCTAATACAAGGAACCATAACCATGTAACTTTTGGAAACTTTCGTGCACTTCAAATTCTAGGTTCAATTTTAAGACTGGCAGCATGAAACATTTCAAACACAGAATGATATCTTGAAGTTTTACTATTAGACACCGGCTAAAAGGAGGGAAATAAACCAATACCTCTGCGATGAAGTTGCTTGGAATGGATGAAATCCAAGCACTCATTTATTTTGTTTGTCTCAAACTTCACAAAATGAAGTCTCCCACCAAGAACAGGGTAGCTTATCCTGTTCCCATTGGATATACCCAACCTCTCCTTGATAGTCTTCTTCCTCTTATCGTCATTTGAATAATCCTCATGTCGTGAAAAATACACCAACTTTATCAAAGATCCTGAAAATTAAATTCGATGATTTACAGCATGCCACTAGAAATTACATGAAAATCGCGAAATTTGTAAGCCACTTAAGATATTAAGAGAAGTGAGCATCATTCTTAAGTTCAAAAGGTCTGGTAGAAGCAATCGTGTAATTGAAGGTTTTAACCAATTTGCACTATAGATGATGAATAAGTGGACTTAACATGGCAGGATAAAGAAGGGAAAAGAAGAAGCAGGCGTGAATCAAACAGAAAATATGTGGTTCAACAAAATCTCAACAAGAACTAACTCTCGGGTAGGAGATATAGAAAATGTTCGCATGACAATAATGGCTTTACAATCATATCAGGAAAGAGAACAAGTTAAAATAATACCAAGCATCACACAGACAGGAACCAGGAGAACCAAACAAGTTAAAATACCGCCATCAGAGAAACAAATGGTCTTGAACCTGGTTATACTAGAAACTCTCTAACAAACTCAAGCAGGGTCATAACTGATGAACAACAAACCAAGAACAGAAAGTGTGCAGAAAACAGAAAGCCCGGCTATGTGCAAATGGAGGAACTAAGAAAATATCATCGGAGATGCAAATGGTGATACTAGAACGACCTCTACTCAAGCAGGGTAGTAGCGGATTAAACCCAAATCAAGACATATAGAAGAAACTCAAAGAGCAAATGTGCAGGAAACAGAGAACCCAGATGTGTAAAAATGAAACTAATACCGCCGATATCGAGGGCAAGATGAGAAATATCATCAGACTGATTAGGCAACAGAATAGTAGGATCCCTCTCCTCAGAACTCCCCTGAATGGCAGCTTTGCTTAGATCAAGCTGCGGTCGAGAACCTGAGCGGTGGATTGAATTCCCAGAAGCAGGAGCCATATTATCTCTCTCCCCACCAACCCGAGCGGTGGACTGAATTGCAGCTTTTGCCTTGTTACCTCCACTGCTCCCTTCAGCTCCTCCTTTATTATCTTGTTGCTTTAATTCGTCGTTAACTTCAAGAATTGGGTCATTCTTACTGTCGTCTCCTGGTCCCCCCATAAATACAAGTAGCCCAGAAGATCACCAACAGCTTTCCTAACACATGCACACCCAAAACCTACCTGTAACATACCATTCAGTATTTCGTCAAATTGACCAACCCTAAACTCATAATAAAAAAAAGGGCACGACTTGAATTGAATTCAACACGGTATGTGACCCGTATTTGCGATTTCGGAAGCTAGATTGCCACAGGAAGTGGAAAATGTGCAAAAAATGATCGAGTGAATCGAAAGAGTGAAAAACCGGGGAATTGAAGCAAAGCGATCTTTATTTGCGGAAAAGGCAGATGCAGAGAACGAAGTGTCTGCTTTCACCTACCCTGAGCAGGCAAGGAGATGACCGAATGAATGAGAGCCCACAAACGCAAAATCCCTGGCGGGGGATTCTTGTCACATCGTTAGCGTCTAAAACGCAATCGCAGCGTTTAAGGAATTTATTTTAGGAAAATAAAATTGTGGCACGATGATCACTAATCACATATTCCGTGTTCAGAAATCAGAATGTCTGTGAAAAGAGATATATATATATATGTCCAAAATGAAACTTGTAAAATTTTACAAAATTTTATGATAAAACATATTAATTTTTTATATAGCATTTTTATCGTTTTGATTAGTCGTTAAATTATTTTTATTTGACGATTGACCATTTAGGTTTTAAAAAGGTATATTCAATCTTTTTTCAATTTATTTCATTTTGAATTCAATTTTTATTGAAAAAAATAATTATTAATAAATAAAATATTCATCTTTATTTTGGATTATTGTTTTTTATATTTTGTTTAAATTCAATTTAATTTGTCGATTTTAAAATTATATAATTTGGTTTAATTAGCTACACCGCCAATTTTCTTTCTAGATTCTCTTACCAATCTCCAGACTCCAGGGATGATCAAGTCAAAGTGGCAATATATCCGCAATACCTTTTGACTGTTATTCCAACTTCTGATACTACCCTTGAAACAAAAAATTAAACAAAAAAGACTCCTTATCATGACAAATGACACAAAAAATCCCAAACATTTATGAATAGACCAAAAAACTGATAAATTTTGAAAAAAAACTGAAAGAAAAAAAAAAGAAAAGAGATGCATCGTAACATCTCTCTCCTCAGTCACGTCTTCTCTCTCTCTCCTCACTCACGATTCGGCGCTCTCTCTCTTCTAAAACTCGCGATTTTCCTCAGTTACGTCTTCTCTCTCGCTCGAAACCACCGAATCGTTCCGTATTTGTGCCCTAAATTTTATTTTCTCTCAGTGCTCTCTCTTTGGGGAGATAGAAGAAGCAATGTGCGACTGCGAAAAAATGGCAAGTTCAGGGTCTTCGTCACATTCTTCGAGCGAAAATGAGAGTCGTATGGAGATTTCGGAGTTAGATGGACACAAGGTAAGTTAAACTTCAATTTTTTTACAAATTTCGGAGTTAGATGAACACAGTTGTTGTTCGATTGAAGTGTGGGTTGAGAATTTGAAGGATAGAGCATTAGGGTTTTGGGCATTTTTGAAATTTGGGGATTTCGAAATAGAATTTTGGTTTGAGACTTTATGGTTAAAATCGAGTGAGATGGTTGAGTTTCGGTCACAATGGATGAGTTTCAATCAAATAAGACAAGTGATATATGACAGAACACGGTATGGGTCGATGGATGTATAGATTGTCATGAAGAATCGGATGACCTAAGGATTCAAATGTTATGGTCTCACGGTCACAGCCACAAAGGTCACAGTGTCACATGTTTGTATAGTCACTAGGTCACAGCCTCAAAGGTCTCAGTGTCACGTTTATATAATCAGAAGGTCACAGTCTCAAAGGTCACAATGTTTGATGTTTTGCAGGCGCCGTATATCTACAAACTTGATCAAATTCAGTTATGCCCGAAGATAAATACGAGATGTCACCCTGCTCAGACACTGAAGAAGCTGAAAGACCTACTAACAAACGAGGAATGGATGTACTTTAGCAAAGAGTCACAGTTTCAGCATCTGTTTCACACCAAATTCGAAGAGACACTGAAGATGGCACCTGCTGCATTCCTCATCAACCACGCAGTGTTGGTCGAGGACGATTGCGAGCTATAGTTTGTCGTCAATGGAGTGTCCATCAGGTACTCCATCGTGGAGCACGCCTTGATATCGGGATTGAAATGCAGTGAATATCTGCCAGGGTGGGAGTACAAAAGGAAAGACAAGTTCAGACTGAAAATGTTTGGGAATCGGAAAGTGTCTAAGCAAAACGTTGAGAAGACGCCAATCGCTAAGGTTGCTGATCAGAAGAAATTGGCCATGGTGATGATACTCGGAGGGATTCTGGACCATGGCACCACAGAAGATAATATCAACAATGATTTGGTGGACATGGTGAATGATTTGGAGTTCTACGAAAGGTTTCCGTGTGGACGATATACATTTGAAAAGATCAATGGTCAGATACAGAAAAGTTTCGCGGGTGGAACTCTGAAGGAAAAATGGCACTGTCGGGGATTTATAATACTCCTTATGGTAATTATTTTTTGTTTAATGGATTATTTTAGAGTTGCCATTATATATGTTACTATGATTTGAAGGTTTGTTTGTCGTGTGATAATGTTTAAACAATATTTTGCAGTTGCTTCCATTCGAATGTATATCCGGCTTGGGTTGCAATGGGTAGTATAAAGATGTTGAAGAAGCAGATCCGGGGTGTCCTAGGATGTGCAAGAAGTCCGTGAAAGCAAACGTCCGCTGGACCTTTAGTAATGTCATAAAAACGATTGGAAAGAAATCAGAGGTACGCCTAAATCACAATATACAATAATCACATGGTCACATAATCAGATAGTCACATACTCACATGGCACCATTGGCTCTGATCACACGGTGACTATGTTTTATGGTCACATAATCACATGGTCACATGGTCACATGGTCACATGATGGTCACATGGTCATATGGTCACATGATGGTCACATGGTCACAGAATGTGTCATAATCACGTGGTCATATGGTCACATGGTCACATGATTCAGAATGAATACTTATAGTAACATTGAATCACATTTGTTTCCAGGGTATTAAAAGCATACTGCAGATAGAAAGCGGTGAAGGAGCACTTCTTTTTTATTTGGAAGGGTATGAAGGGAGTACAGATGCAAATGTTCAATTTTGGATGCAACATCTGAAAAAAAAAACCCGGAAAGCATATGTTGGAAGAAGAGTCGCGATGCAGAGCTGCATTGCAAAAAGTCATTGGAGACGAAAATGAAGGATAAGCGCAAAGTATTGATAGACGATGATTCAGATGAAGTAGATGAGAAAGAAGATGAAGAAGAAGAAGTACAAGAACGAGAGCAGCAGCAACGGCAGCAGCAGCAGCAGCAACAACAACAACAACAACAACAACAACAACAACAACAACAAAGGGCTTTTCGTCAAGGAGTAACGGGGCTATCACATATTGAAGCACTTAAGGAATATATACAGCTGGAAATAAAAGTGTCTGAGAGCCGAGTCATCAATTTTGTTGGAGATATAGTTCGAGGCTTTTCAAGGACGTTGGGCTCCTTTCTGATCAAGTTACGGAGAATCCAACAGAGCCTATAATTTTGAGGACAAGTCCCCGACACACAGAGGGGTTGACGACAAGTCCGATAGATCTGGACAATGTGAGGATGAACCCAATATTCAAAGAACCAGAGTATGAAGAAGCAAAACCGACAAGTCCGATAGATTCTGTTAGGACTGATGAATATTACGATAAGGCAGAGGAAGAAGACTTTATATTGCAGTCTCGAGATGAGACTCCTATGGCTGCCTCGCCCAAGAATGCACATAAAAGAGAAGGGCATTCGAGACTTGACACAATTGTGGCTACTATTACTGCACAAGTAGGAAGTAAGTACTGGAATAAAGTTTCGGTAACAATGTAATTAGGTCACATGGTCACAGAATTTAATTTGATTGTATTAACTGTTTTTTGTTTAGGTGATGGTGATAATCATAAAGGTGATAACAAGTCCGAAGGTGATGATGATAAGGATGAAGGTCACGATTCTTAAGGTCACGATTCTAAAGGTGACGATGATAATGATGATGGTGACAATTCTGAAGGTGATGATGAAGAAGATGAAGAAGATGATGATAAAGATGATGATCAAGATGATGATAAAGATGATGATCAAGATGATGATCAAGATGATGCATCAGATGATGATAAAGCCAATGAGGATGATGTAATGTGTGAACCTAACGAAGAGGTAGTCACGCAACCTGAAGCAGAAGTTATCCCCCCAACACCATTGAAAAGGAGTAAAAGGAAAGTTGTTGATGGTCCGACCAAGAGAAGTCCCTATGTCGATCCAATATCAAGTGGCCCCCTGCAAAAAGAACCCGATCCCATGCATACCGGGGCAGAGGAAAAGGTAGGGGTAGAGGACAAGGTAGAGTCACCATCAATACGAGCAAGAAGGATGTTGAAGTTGCTGAGGTCGCTGAGGATTCAACCGAGAAAGAGGCTGTTGGAGAAAAGGAGTATGTGTGGAATCCTGAACGCATTCACAGTAGTGGTAAGTTCCTTATCCGGAATCAATCTTTTGTTGAATGCGATGGACCAATGGCTTCAGCTCTATGGGAATTTATGAAGAAACCAGAAGAAAAAAGGTTGTGGAAGTCAGGGATGAATGTTGAGCGGGAATCAAGTTTTTGGGAGACACTTTTGGAAGTCGGACTATGGCTCACAGTCACAGTAAGTGTACTCGGTCACACAATCACAATCACACAGTCACACAATCACAGAGTCACGTGGTCACACGATCACGATCCCACAGTCACAAGGTCACATGGTCACAGAATCTCAAGATTTAATGTTGATTGTATTTACTGACATGTATTGTTTTATTCTGTAGCACATGGATGAGGCGATGTACCAACTCCGAACCCGTGTTATAAAGAATCATGTGACCTTCATTGGATGCAATTACTTGGTGTGTGACACCATGTTTGTAGAGTTAATCAAAACATGGGCCGAATCGGGAGATATGACAACTTTGGGCGGTTTATAGCCATACTTCAACGGAAAGCTTCCAATTGGTTGTGCAGGGACGTCGTTGATCAGTTACGAGGGATTTGTGAGTGTGCTTAATGTTCTCGGATTTGGCAATGATGAAATCAGCTGCAATTGGATTGGCATTAAAGTGGATTTCAGTGAGAAAACTCTAGAAATCTATGATTGCCAAGCCAGACTGCAGGAAAAGGCGAAAGATGCAGTTCAAAAACTCTGTCATGTCGTTCCGAAGTTGTGTTGCCTCGCTGGGTCGGAAGCTTTCGCTGATGGAGATGTATTGGACATTGAGTATGTGCAGGACGTACCCCAAAACAGTGGGGAAGAATGCGGGGTTTTCGCAGTGAAGTACATCGAAGCCATTTGCCTTGCCAAAGAGCGGATGCTATTACCGTTAATATGCAATGACAATGTCACGTTGATCCGTGAACAACTAACAGTAGCAATATTCGCTAATGGCAAGCCTCAGAGGTTTAGGAAGAAGAGAGAGTGAACGATCCCTAAACTCTTTTTACGTTTATGTTATTTTGAACCCTTTTTAAGATTACTTTTGTTTGTTTGACATTATCTTTTTTAGTAGTATTTATATTTGTTTGGATTAAGTTGGAAAAAAATCTCGGATTCTTAATGTTTTTATAGAAAATTATGGGTTTAAATTTAATAGATGAAATTTTGGGGTTAAAATTTGAGAGGAAAAAAATATAGGGTTAAAATTTGGGAGGAAAAAATTTGAGGGTTAAAATTTGGGAGGGAAAATATATGGTTAAAATTTGGGAGGAAAAAATTTTAGGATTAAAATTTGGGAGGGAAAATAAATATAGGGTTGAATATTGATGTTTTTCACTCCAAAATAGTTGTTCTCTCTGACATTGCCGATGTTGATGTTCCCGCTACACATTTGATTCTCTTCCGTGCTTCACCAGGACCAGGATACCGATTTTGTTTAGGCCTCCCACATTGTCGTTTCTCATCCATTATAGGAGGCATAACTACAAGATTTACAACATTCGGGTCATCGATAATCCATTCATAGCAATTGGGGACCGGATACATGGTTTCCTGATAGGCAAGACGCCATGCCTCCCGCGTATAATATGGAGAACACAAGTCTGGTATAACATTCGCTTTACCAACCTTATGAAGTGCTGCAATTGCATGGTTGCATGGGATCTTATCGATATCAAACACCCTACAATTGCACTTTCTATCTTCAATGCTAACAAAGTGTTTTCTATCCTTTTCACCCCTCACTTCAAACTCCTCTGTAACAGTGTTTAGCACAATGAATTCATACGTACATGCAGTCTCATACCTCTCATGGAGCACTTTGTCAACATGCGGTGTCATTTTTTGTGAATCATCGGCACATCCTGTTTCCACTCTATATCTATCGAACCATTCCACGGTCTTGGAGACACACATATCCAGAAGGCCCAGCACCGGAAACCTTTTTGCTTTCTTCATTACAGAATTTTTGATTCCGCCGCATTTGTTGTCAATAAATTGTACATTTGACGCTTAAATTTACACCTTGTCCATTTCTCGAGATCAAGTTTTTCTTTCTGCATATACTCCGCGACTTTAGGATACCTACACAAACAATGGTCACATGGCACATGGTCACATGTTTCAGAATAAGCAATGGTCATATGATCACAATGTACAATAATCACATGGTCACATGGTCACACGGTCACATTGATGATGGTCACATGGTCACATGGTGACATGGTCACACGGTCACATGTTTCAGAATAATCAAAAATTTAGATTAGGTAATAATGGTTAAAAAAACCTCGTACCTGTCCTTCATATCATTAAACAGGTCTTCAAATTCGTTCAACGTATAAGCTTCCGCGCATTTGAAGAACCATTCGGCAATGGTCTCACCTCTCGAACTTTTCCTTCCCATGCCTCTGTTAACCTTGACTTTCAAATTTTGCGCTATATGTCTCGCACAAAATCCGTGCCCTGCTTCTTTGGACACTTCGCTGACGGCCTTTATTATACTCCTATGTCGATCAGAAATCACGACAACATCAGGTCCATCTGGGATTGTCTTTATTAACATTTTCATAAACCACCTCCATGATGCATCTTTTTCTCTGTCAATAACCCCCTCCCCAGGCTAACGGATATAGGTGGTGATCACCGTCTTGTGCCGTTGCAACGACCAATGTACCCTTGTATTGTCCTGTGAGAAATGTTGCATCAATCGCAACCACTTTACGCATGTAATTCCATCCTCTTACCGCTGCACCCAATGCGAAGAAGAGATATTTGAAACTTTTGTCATCTTTGTCCAACTCAAGACCGACAATTGTTCCGGGATTTCTCTTTTGCAACATGTGCAACCACCCAGGAAGCTTTCTGAAATGCTTAGCAGGATCACCTCGAATCTCACTTTCAGCTTTGTGTTTGCCTCATAATGCCGTCAAATATGTTACGGTTGTACCGTACTTGTCTTTTACCCTATCTACAATTTCATGTGCTGAATGCGTACTATCAAGTTTACCGGGAAATTCTTCCTTTAAATAATCCCGAACCAATTTCTTTGTACCCCTCAAAGCTTCGCTTGTTTCAAATACGGGTTTGCAGCTATGCATGGGATTGTGTTTTCTTATACTCCAACGCTCCGAGTTTAAAATCAATGCCGTCCGCGACTTCCGATTACAACCAGATTCATCAAATTTGCATCTTATTTCCCACAATTTTTTATCGGACTTCAATGTACTGTAACGAAAACGACCCATAGCTGTACTCTTGCGAACAAATTCTTGTGCTGCTTTCTTATTGTCAAACTCATGACCAATTGTGATATTTAATCCATCACTGAAACTGAATACAGAATTCGAAAACCGAGAGTAAGGGCCAAATCATCACCACCATTAGCACGATCACCATCACATTCAGTCACTATAACATCCCTAAGACCACTAGAATGTTCACTGTAAAAAAGATGTATAACTTCTGCCACATTATTACTCCCAATTCTACTCTTAAAGTTAGGGCTCAACATAACACAATTATCATAATCTATCCCATCTCGCTTTCTACTACCTCCAACACCACTTTCACCAACATGAATTATAGGTTGTTCTTCAATATTTTGTTCACATTCACCTTTCACCCGTACCTCATCTATCTCCACATAAAGCATGCCTCGCATTCCATTTATTTTATCCAGTAGATAAATATGAACATGCTTGTCATTCCATAGATAGGTGGACTTTCTGTTTTCTTTTATATTTGGTAAATAGCTCAGCTTGATCTCTACTTTATCTTTATCCACCTTCATCTCCGAACATAACTCTCGAACAAGTTCACTGTAGGTCATCTCCAAGGGGGACAAAAGAATGGCAATCTTTGGTTTTCCATAACCTTTCCTTCCCATTCATATTCCTCATTCTTATTCTGTATCCAACCACCGCCGTATAGAAAATATATAATTGTTGACCTCTCGTCTCGCCCATCCATTATACCACTGGAAAACAGAGTTACAAAACGAAGATCAATTCGACCATTCTGAACATTGTGACCATGTGATCATGTGACTATGTGACCTTGTGACCATTATTACCAATCTGACCATTCTGAAACATGTGACCATGTGACCATTTTACCTTGTGACCGTGTGACCGTGTGACCTTGTGACTTTGTGACCTTGTGACCTTGTGACCGTGTGACCGTGACTATTGTGACTTTGTTCCTATTGTCACCCATGTGACTGGTTTTCCTAATGACTCATGAACCATGTGACCAAGTGACCCTGTAATGGTGTGACCGCGTGACCACTTCACCATATAACCCCTAATCTATTTGTATTATGCACATTTTGACCATTGTGTCATGTTTCTATAGTCACCCATATAAGTGTTGTGCACATTGTGATCATTGTGACCCATATACCCATGTTGACCTTCGTGACAATTAACCTGTGTGACCCGTGACACAGAACGATGCTCGGAATACATCCAAAATGCAGATCCGATATAGATCTTTGTTTACAAACAACAGAACTACAGAAAAAACAACAAATGGAAGGAAAAAACCGCAACAACCATCAATGTGTATGAAAAAAAACTGAGATTTCGACACAAACTTACCTATTTCCACTTTCGTCACTGATTTCGCCTTGATTTGCCTGTGATTTTGTCCAAATTCGATAAATTTTGAAGACAAAATAGCAAGATGAGGAGGAGAGAGAAAACACAGTAGAGAGAGAGAGTTTAGTCAACAATGGCGAGAGGAGGAGAGAGAAACCGTTCTTGAAGAAAGAGAAACCCTAAAAAAAGGGAGTTTTTTTTATTTTTTAATTTATGTCTGAAGGGTATTTGTGTAATTTGTCAATGAAAAGGATAAATTAGAAGTTGGAATTTTTTTTTTCAAGAGGAGGGTAGTAAAGTCCTTGTAGTACATTGAGGGTAATTTGGAAATTCTCCGTCAAAGTAGGATACTCAGCGCACCAAAATGCTTGGTCATGGATTTGGATCTATGTTTGTTTTATTTGCGTAAATATAATAATAAAATAGAGAAATTTTATGTGGTAATTATAAATTATAATTAATGATTAAAAAATATCGTACCTTAGATTTTGGCATATTTTAGGATTTTTTTTTTCACATGTATAGCTTAAATGTAATGTCTCTAAACGGATGGTTGGTGTTGGAATATTAATCCTTTTAGGACATGATTTTCAATATATAAAAACATTAAACTTATAAGACTATATTGCAGAAATATAAAATTATTGGATTTATACATGAATACCTCTATGAATTGATATGAAGTTTTGAGATCTTCTAAACCTTTGACAGTTTCACAGAGACGATATATCTGAATGAATATTCATTGGGTTTATGAACCTAAAATGTAAACCCTTTATCTATTTATATATTTTTTTTTCATCAGAAAAATCAATAAAATCAAAAGATTTAGTATTATCGTCTTGTTGATAATATCAAAATATTGGACTATTAATATGACAGTCTAAATGATGTCAAATTCTTACCTAAAAAAATGTTTCCAATAATAAAGCCAAACTCATTTGTCTTCTACTAAAACGTTTTAAACTACACTTGACGAAATCAAAAGACAGATCAAATTGTACACAATGTTAACAACAACAATGACTAAACCAAAAAAAATGGTAATGATAGGGAAATTCTGTATTGTAGCAATCATCAGTCTTCATTGTTAGTCCTTTTCTCTTCATTTGATTCTTTCATCCTATCATCATCATCATCATCATCATCATCTATGCCTTTGCCACTTTTCTTGTCAGCCAAATCAGGGATAGCATCACTAGATTCGATCTTCTGCTGCTGCTGCTGCGTCTCCTCGATACGCTCCTCGTGTTTCAGTCTTTTTATCTCGTTCTCTTTCTCTTCCAGCTTCTCTTGCAAGATTATTACCTGAAACCACACGTAAAATGCATCGTTGGTTCACTCAAACACTGCTATATACTCTTACCACACATCGCTCGTTTTCGTTTCATGTCTTCTTGTTATTCCAACAGCAAACCGGCATGTTTAACCACAAGGGCTTTTCTCTTTGGTTCTTTTTCTTTTTTGTCTTTCTTGGTCATCTGGTTGAACTCAGGTTTACTCCTTTAACGGTTTAGCCACGAGTTCTTCTTCTTCATTACAGAAATGACAAAAGAGACAAGGATAAATACCGTCTCGTTCGATCTCTCAACATCATTAGTCAATGTCTCCATTTGCTTGAAAAGTTCTGCATTCAGTAGAAGCAGAAGACATAGTTTTCACAAACCCAAGTTTAAATTTATACGAATGTTAAGGAATATTCAGACAACATAAAGGTATATCAGTTGAATGTCTCTTATCACTGTTTTTCTTAATCTCAGCAGGTTCATTACTTTACTTTGGAGAACTCTCAATGATTCACATAGAACCCCTATAACGGATTCAATTATATGAAGCACAGATTCACAGGTAAACGTATGATTGAGGAGCGTTAAATTGCGGCAGAGAAAAGGGCTACGAGAAATTATAAATTCATTCTTGTCTACTACATTATGAGCAGAAACTAAAACAGGCATACCACTAACCTTCAAACTGACTTCTGAGTTCAGCGTTTTGAGACTTCTGCATAGCAAGCTTCATTGCGAGTTCCTGCATCTGTCAACCCAGAAAAATCCACATTTCTATGAACATGAGAAATCATCAATCTCCTCCTAGTCTTTCAAGCGAATGATATTTTACAAAATTAAATTTCAAGCCGAATATAATTCAAGACTGAGACACAGGTGAAAAGGCATCAATCTCCTCCTAGTCTTTCAAGGGAATGATATTTTACAAAATTAAATTTCAAGCCGAATAAAAATCAATACTGAGACACAGGTGAAAAGGTTTCCTTTTCTTTTTATAAGGGATCTGTGGTAACAGCTATACCTTTCCTTCAGTGGCTTGTTGTCCGATCTCTTCGTTTTCCTCTTGAAGAGTTCTGCACTTAGCCATAAGCATCTTCCCCATCTTGCTTTGCGGAGTAAAAGTGACAGCTGCAATATTATCTTGGAGTTCCTTTACTTTTTTGTCCTTTTCGTCCACTAGATTCTGTTATCATAAGACCAAAGAAGCATTAACGAGTCAAAATTAAACAAACAGGTATTAAAACCCTAAAGGGCACGAGCATATATATATATATCAACAACAACCAAAAGACGTTTAGAGTTTCGCATACAATTGTAATTAGAACAACACCTAAACACAGAAAATTGAATCTACCATTACCCAAGGTGTAGACAGTAGGAAATGAATAATATACTGAACTTTCCGGTCATCCGTACATGAATGCAAACTTCCTAAACAGCTTGAATTCTGGATAAAACCACTTTAGTTACTTCTATAAATTTAACAATCAGGATTAAATTCGGAGAGAGCAAATTAATTTAGGGCTAGAAACTAGATCTATGCACAGACCTTTAGACGTGTAAACTCTTCATGAATTGCTGGATCCAACAGCAACCTCCTCGCCTGCAAAGGTAAGCCATACATAGTTCAACCACCAAAATTCTTATAGACAATTAAAAAGGGCAAATCTGGTGACAAGGAATATGCCCTGTACTTTGATGACTGGAAAAAGAAAAACCAGCAAAATGCTGCCTTCCGTGTAAATCCAGATCAAATACGACCACCACCCTCAGAACTCAGAAAAATTATTTTGTATTGATATAGAGAATAATGTTCCCAGCAAAGTTGTGCACCACGGAACTAGATCGGAACTAATTTTTAATACTTCATCATGACTAATTTTTAATGTATTCAGTTCAGTACAGATATGTAATATGCTACGGAAGTAAATTACTGAAGAATTTCATACCTGCATTGATGCTGGCTTCAGTTGAGCTTTCAAATCGCGAACTGCAGACTGGAAATCCAAAATTAAAAACTCAGAGTAGGGACCTCTGTTATATGCATCAGTCAATCCTTTTATATGGGGATGAAATAGTTTTAGAATGCAATATGCATGAACTACTGGAGCATTACCTTTAATTCTGCCATTTCCTGCTCCCTTTTTGCATATTGTACGATGCACGAAGCTTCTTTTCTCCTTGCAATTTCCAACTGAAGAAAGCAAATCATAATCAAAATCAGTTTGACCAATCACCACATTTTAAACAAAATTAAATACTAATAAATATTAAATACTAACCTGTTCTTTCAGAGATTTCTCAGATGACTTTAAGTTCTGGATATAGTCAATCACAAATCTAGGTTCTGGAAGGAGAAGTAGCAAGCAGAGTTTTAAGACCCGAATAAGACAGAAGCAACAAGTTTGATTGTTTAGTGGAACTAATGCATGTAGTATGCAAAGTAACATTCTGTGAAGAAATAAACCAGGAGATTTTCCAGCCGGTACAAAGGACTCATTCTGAAACGCTGATTTCCATTTCTGAATCTCTGTTTTTGCTGCCTCAAGCTCAACCTGACACAAAGTATTTAGAAACAGGGATTTCAAATGCAAACAGGGATGCAGATAATTGTGCATAGATTGGAGAATAATACATACTTGACAATTTGTTAGGTCATTTTTACAAGTCTCGAGACTGCAAGATAACATGTAAAGAAAATGTTAATTAAAGAGGTTGAGGATAAGACATTATATAAAACTTTTTCTCTTTTATAATGCTAAATCAAGCAAGGGGATGATATCCAATACTTAAGCCTCAAACAAGAAAATGCAAATAGATCTGAATACCTCCCACGAAGTGTCAAAATCATCGCAGTTGCAACACCAGGTGTAGCTTCTTCTGCTTTTGTACGACCCTGAATGATGATGAACTACAATTTTGTCAAATATCTAAAAATATATATAAAAAAGGTTACATGAGATCAAGACATGAGAAAGCTGCAAACTTTCAGCTAATTACACATATTTTGTACTCCACACGTTACGCTGAAAGTGCAAAACAAATGGAATAAGTATATTCCGAATCAAATTTCTGTCTCAAGTAATTGGCCAGAATTGAGCCCAACATATCTACCGATTATTGTGGAAGCAGCATTATCCGTAACATTAACATTCTTATAGTCACAAAACCCAACTGCAGGACCAAAAAACCTGAAAATAGCTAGAAACATATCCCACCATGATCAGATGCGTCTCACAAGTCAACGGCTAGCAACAAGAAAATAATCTTGTAAAGCTACCATAGACAATTTTTCTAAGAACAGCTATCACAAGCATAATCAAAATTCATAAAATTATAATTTTATCTTCACTATAAACGCACCTTTTTTGCGTCAAATATATCTTCTTCGTCATCTTCAAGGTCATCGAAACTTCTTTTACTACCTGAATAGTATATATGCAAAAAGAGAAAAATTCCAATCAACACTACCCTAAAGATAATCCAAACCATCAACAAGAAATAACGTACAAAGCTTGAAAAAACTCGTGTTCTACTACATAGAGAAGAATTTGTTCATTTCAGACCTGAAGCCCTGGATACGCGAGTAGCAGCAAAATCTCCACCAAAATCATCGTCCTGTAATGAGAAATCCATCTATTAAGCAGCTACAGAGAGAATGTCCACCTATGACGTCCAAACCTGTAAGACAGGCATAAAATTCAATGAACATCCCCGAATGCAAATACCTGCTGTTTATTAAATCAAAAGGACGAAACCAAAGTAACTTCAATTTAAAACCGAACAATTTAAACTGTAATACAAAGAACACTAAATCCAAGCTTGTAGAATACACATCAGTTGTCAGCACATAAATCTTTGACTATGGAATTGCTCCATCAAGACAAAAGAATCTATTAGTAATCGTTCAGACGATAACAAGCAAACCCATAACAATGGAGTAGGAGAAAGATTTAAGCTATAAGAGTGAATTTTTAAGAATAAGGTTGTGAAACCCCAAAATCTAAAACTTATTGGGAATCAATAATGAACCTCTGGAATACCCATTATCAGGAGGGAAAAAACTACGAAACTCATAAATTCAGCATAAACGCTACACAAATGCATCTCCAAACGCTAACTGCACCCCGTGATTCCGTGGAAGACAAACGCGAATCAGAAGCAAACGCGAAAATGGTTCAGAGAGATCACTTGCCTTAGATAAGCTTGAAAAGTTTTCTCTTTTCGACGGATCCCTAGGCATTGAAGAATTCCGATGGAAACAAATAATTAGTAGCTCATTGAGCGATTAGCATAAGAAACCCAAATGACAGAATCAAGGACTAAGAAGAAAAGGAATCGAAGTGCAAGCTCCATTCAAAATAGTGGTCGAGATTCATCGAAACAGAAGAAGAGAAGAAGACAAGAGACACCGGAAGAGGATACGAGAGGGTGACTCACCGGAGCGATGACGGGAGACGGCGGCACTAGGGTTCAGTTAAGCGCTTTAGAACCCAGAGAGGTGTCTCGCGTGGAAGTCGGTTGATTTCCAGGCTTAGGAGGGTATCTTCGATATTTTTATAAACATGTAGGGGTATTTTCGGAACCAAGGATGAATCATTTCATTCTCTCCAAAATTGTTTCGACCCCGCAAAAGTAATTTAATTATCCTTCCTTTTCCACATTCTTTTATTAATTTGAATAATTTATTCTTTCTTTTTTGGTAAATTAATTTGACTTTTTTTGGGTAAATTACTTTGAGTAACTTCGGCTCTGTAAAATGTTATATTGCATTGAGGATCATGATATATATCCATAACAATGTATGCGACCGAATTTTTATTGAATCACCTAAATATGACGTTTTATTTCCTGAATATGAAGTTAAAATAGGAAAAGGAAAAAAAAGTGGAGAGACAAACCGCAAAAAAAAAATGAAACATTTCAAAGAAATTAAGATATGTAAAAGGATGTTTCGGATGAGGGACGGAGGGAATGAAAACTGGATTCTCTAATTTACATCTCCACTTGAATCATCTAAATATGATGTTTTATTTGGATGTATTGTATATTTTTATCTAAAATTGTGAGAAAAAAAAACACAAGTTAGTGTAAGAGGAAATTGAGAGTTTAAGAATGTGGTTTTATTGATTTAGGGTTGTCCGACAAAATTATATTTTCTTATTGATCATTTTCTATTAATGTCTCAATATAGATATATATAGTTAAAAAGAGAGTTTGAGGCTTATAGGGGTGCCAATTTCGGCCCGACCCGAATCCGAAATTATCAATTTTCTGGAATCATATATATAGTGATAGAATTGAGAAGCATATGGAAGTTAATAAATTCAAAGATATTAATTGGACATTTGCTAATTAAGAGTGAATTTTAACATTAATAGATTTGTTTGATAAAAGTTAAGGAAAGGCTTATGTAATTCAAACATGTGAAATGTCAGTTATGCGTCCAGTTCGGTGGATCAAACAAATTGGTTATGATCTACAACTAGGGGTGGACATAATATGCAAAAAAAACCGAATCGATCCGTTATTCGATCCGTAACCGAACCGAAAATTTGGATATCCGGAGTTCACGGATCGGATACGGATAGTAATTTTAAAATATTTATCGGATACGGATAGTAGTTTCAAAATATCCGACATATCCGAATCTGATCAGGACTTTTTAGCAATATTAATAATATATGAGTGATTTGGTAATTATTTTATAATTAAGGGTAATTTTGCAATAAATAAAAGATATTCTAGGTTTTTGTTTCATCATTTTTTTCCTTTATTCATTTATCCGCCACCTCTCTCTCTCCCTCTCTCAGCCTTAATCCATCGTTTCTGTTTATTATTTGAATACTTTGGGGAATCATCGGCAAAATCCCAAGTTAAAATCGAATTTTTTCCGAAATAGAGAGTTTGCTTGTTGGGACGGGACCAAAATCATCACCGACAAAGAAATCTGTGCAGCGGAGAAGGTCATTCCCGCTACATTGAAGGTCTTTGAAGAGATAAATACTCTATGTGGTTGGTGGTGGGGCTGGTCATCTTCATCGGGCTTCATCAACAAAAACGTCGTCCTTGGACCAGTCGAACAAGTTGTCGAAGGAGAAATCTTCGGGACAAATCAATGGAGAAGTTTAATTTTATGTTTGTTATTTTTTTTATAGGTCGGATATGGATATTTACGAATATCCGTAATTTTTTCGGATATTTGAAATTACGGATATACGAAAACTACGGATCGGATACGGATAACAAATTTTAGTATTTGCACGGATCGGATACGGATACAGATATCGTAAAAATCACGGATATCCGATCTGTACCCACCCCTATCTACAACTAGGAAGGATTGCAAAAAAAGGTTTTAAATAGATTCATGGAAAAATTACACCAAAATGCACAAATGTATTAAAATATGTCACATTAATATTAATTTATAAAAATCTTTCAAAAACGATAACCTATTGGTTTGAGAAAGCGAACCTAAAATCGGTTTAGATTTGGTAAAAATTGGATGGAACCATAAAAATGCCTAAATCGCAGAGCACCGAATGAAGATCTTCGACAATAATTGGTGTTTGAATAACCCCTTTCAAAGAAAAAACATATGTGATTTTTCAGTCAAGATGAAGAAGAGACTAATTGGTCGAAGCTCGAATCTTCCGAGACAGACTAAAGAAGGAGCAACCCGTCACACAAATCATATCGCTGATCAAGCGGGAGTTTGGACAAAATATTTAGACTGCTTCTAGAATCTGATCCCGTAATATCTAAATCACAACGGTACGCATCAACCGACGAGAATAGAGTAAAGAAACAATAGCAAGATAAGAAATATTAAAGAGAAACTTCTTCTTGTTAAATTTTAACAATACCGGTTTTCTGAATATACAAAAAATACATCTTGAATCTAACATATAGCATGTAATAATGAATGAAACAGAATAGTGTCATACCTGAGTCCATTTCAACAATGAATCCGGTAGCGTCTGAGCAGTAATCGGAATTTGTGATCTTCTAGATCAACACATGAACAAAAAAAATTCTCACAATATGGGCTTTAAGAATTCTAAAAACTGGTATGTGATCTAGGGACCATAACCCTTAATTTATAAAAAATAAACTTCTTATTATTTCCAATTACGTGCATAAAATAAATGGAAATAAAATAATGATATCTGCACATTAACCCCACATTTTACCGAAATGACAACTAGGTCCTTTAATTCTTAATTAGATCACAAATATGACCTAAATAAAATAACACATAATACATATCTCAATTAATTAGAATATTGATCCATATGATTATTAAAATAATCACAACAATCTTCCACTTAGAGCAACACTTATAATTTCCAAATGACACGCATTGTTCTTTGAGCTCATTATTTTGCTATTTTATAAATCATTTCAACAATCTCGTCCATGAATATGTTAAACTAGAACCATAACAATTTTCACCACATTATTCACGGTTGAACCTTCTGTGATCACATATTCAACAAAATTCAATGACATGGATTAAAATATAGGTGTACAACATAGAAATTACATTTTATATGATCTATACATGTCTATTTCCAACCGGTCCTCTTTAATCTTATGGAGATCTCAACTTTTTAGAATAGAAACAAAATTTTAAAACTTAATTTTCTGCAGAAAACTTTACTTTTAGTCTCTTCCAACACATAACTCCCACTTAAGCTATACATCATCGAATGATAATACACCCATATGAGCAACATGCTCAATAAAGACCGAGGGTGGTAAACCTTTAGTAAATGGATCTGCTATCATGGAAGTTTCAAGATTTATCTGACTACTCTTTATCCTTTCTTTAACAACAAGAAACTTTATGCCAATATACTTTGACTTAGAAGAACTCTTGTTGTTATTAGAGTATATAACCGCTGATTTATTGTCACAGTATATCCGAAGTGGTCTTTCTATTTTATTCACAATTCACAGCTCTATGATAAAATTTCGAAGCCATACTCCATGATTAGATGTCTCATAACATGATATAAATTTTACTTCCATGGTTGAAGCTGCAGTGAGTGTTTGTTTAACACTTTTTCACAATATAGCTCCATGATCACTTGCGTGACGAGTCTTAAATTTGTAACCCGAAACTCAACTAATCCGCAAGTATACGGATGTCGTAGTACCGGGATTGAACACAAGGATTTAAGCGGTTAAGCTAGAAATAAACTAAAACTAGGAAATTCATGAAAATAAAGTTGATTATTGTTTTTGTGGTTTTGAAAGTTGCAGAAAATTAAATGAGAGAAAGTAAAATCAAAGCAAGCAATAACTCAAGAGAAGATAATCGATGGGAAAAGTTATGGGAATTGAGATTCACCAATCATGCAAGGATGTCGTAAGGAATTGTGGACCTAGATCATGCTCGTTCATAAGTGAGGGATTCGAAGACTAAGGTCGGGTTCGGTTCTTTCGACCCGAAAACCCGCTATCCAAGAGAGCACTCTATCCACTTTCGTGGCTTAGAGTAAAATCCCGAATGCATTAAATTCCCTTGTCACGATCCTAAATTGGATTGAACCGAATTTCTTCGCATTCAATCTCAACCCATTTCAATGAATGCACCAAGAATCAAGAATCCATGTTTCCATGAAATTCTCAACTCTAAATTTTACCCATAAGATTTTCATCAAATGGAAGGCATTAAACACCATTCATCAAACTCTAGCAATCAAACCCAAACAATTGCATCACTCAATTCAACAAATCCTAGGTTTCCCTCAACATTCATTCAAGAGATATGAGAGATAATCATGAGGAACAAAATTTCATTCAATTGCAAGAGTTTGAAAGCATAAATAAAGCACAATCTTGGGTCCAAAGGTGAATACAAACATCCTTACATGAGGGCTAATCCTTCATCCCACAACAAGAAAACTGCTCACAACCCATGTTCAAGAACAAAGCAAAACAAGGATAAAGTGCAGAAATCATAGAGAGAGAGTAGAGAGATGCTCAAGAAATCTTCAATCTTCAATGGAGTTTTCTCCTTCCTCTTTCTCTCCTTTTCTCTCCCAAGGTCTCTATTTTCGGCCCCCAATCGAACTTAGGGTTCTCTTGACTCCTTTTCCCTCAAAAACCCGAAGAGAAACACGAAACGACGTAGCTTTGGCGGAGTCTGTGCAGTTATCCGTCCGTTCTAGGTCGGTTCAGTTCGTCAGACCGTCTGCTCTGTCTCTTGAGACCGTCCGTTCTGTCTCCTCGGACCGTCCGTTCTTGCTCCTCAGACTGTCCGTTCTGCCTTATCTTCCAGCTCATCGGGTCTATCGTTCTGGTTCAGTTCGGAAGGGCTGTCTCGTGGTCTGTCGGGTCTGTACACCCAGTCTGTCCATTCCGCAGTAGGCGGTCCGTCCGTTCCAGACCAGAATCTGGGAAGTTATGCTTCTGTCTTCTCCGTTTCGTCCCAAAACCCTCGAGTTCCCCTCGGGTTCCTGCAATGGTCAAAAACTAGTCCCAGAGACCTAAAGATGGCTCTAATATGCCTAGT